GCTTACCTTCGCTTGTTTCCGGCCCCGCTGGCCCCGTCGATCTAGCACGATCTAGCGGCCCTGCGGCCCCGTCGAAATTTTTTTTTTTTTTTTTCCTAGCGGCCTCTCACGGCCCCCGTCGCGTCGCCCCTTAGCGCCCCGATCGGCCCCGTCACGCCGCCCGCGAACCGCACAGCGCGCCGCGCTCACAGCCCGCGAACCGCCCGCGCACAGCCCGCGACCAGCCCGCGCAGCCCGCGCACAGCCCGCGAACTGCCCGCGAGCAGCCCGCGACCTGCCCGCGAACCCCCGCGAGCCGCCCGCGAACCCCCGCGAGCCGCCCGCGACCCGCTTACGCAGCCCGCGAGCAGCCCGCACAGCCCGCGCTGAGCCTGCGCGGCTCGTGCGCTGACCGCCGCCGGCCCGCACGCTGCCCGCACTGCTCCCGGCCCGCCGCTGCTGAGCCCGCAGCCGCCCGCGCACCGCCGCTGCTGAACCCGCCGCCGCCCGCGCACCGCCGCTGCTGAGCCCGCCGCCGCCCGCGCACCGCCGCTGCTGCGCCCGCTGCCGCCTGCGTATCACCGCTGCTGAGCCCGCCCCTGCTGCGCCGGCTCTCGCTGCCGCCTGCTGCGCCTGTGCACCACTGCAGATCCTACTACTACACTTCCTGCTACTGCTGCTTGTGCGCCACTACAGTCCGTAGGCCCCACCGGCCCTGCTGACCCTGCGCACGCCTGTTCAGTGACTTTACTGCTTCTACTACTGCCGCTGTCGCTATGGCTAGTCCTCCTGTTCTAGCTTTCGACGCCGAGGGCCGTCCGGTCAAATTCGAAACCTGGCTAGATGACCTGCACCTTTTCCTACAGCTCACTGCCAAGGAAGATATTACACTGTACGACCACGCTCTCGGCCATGCGACCGCCCCACTCGCTACTGCCCCCCCAGCTGAGCGCTCACAGTGGCAGACCCGTGACGCGCACGCTCGCTTTGCTATTCGCAACTCCCTGCCGCTAGATGAGCGCGAGCACTTCGGCCAGTGCAAGACTGCTAAGGACCTCTACACAGCTGTAGTGGCCCGCTACTCCTCACCCGCTTCTGCCACACTAGGCCGCCTCACTCTCCCCTACCTGTTCCCCGACCTAGCCTCTTTTCACACTGTCGCAGACCTCATCACCCACCTTAAGACTAGTGAGGCTCGCTTTCGCGCTGCCATGCCTGATGAGTTCCTCGCTAGCAACCCCCCCCCGCTCTGGATCACCCTCTACCACGTTGTCACCCGCCTCCCTGACTCTCTGCGCCCTGTCAGGGACCAGTTCCTCTCTCGCTCCCCCACTGAGCTCACCATAGCCCTCCTCGAGAAGGAACTGCTTGCAGCCGAGGCTAGTATCGTCGCTGTAGGCACCTCTCGTGGCGACCCCCGCGGCCCCTTCTTCGAGGGGTGCTCCCCTTCCCCCCTCCTCCCCTCTGTCGCCTCTGCTGCTGCTGTCGACCTCCTTGGTGCTGAGAAGGTCGGGGCTGCGTCTGCTTCAGGCGGACGACGCAGGGGCAGGAGTGGCAGGAGTGGGGGTGGTGGCGGAGGAGGCGGGGGTGGAGGTGGTGGCGGTGGAGGTGCGACTGGAGAGGCTAGTGGCGGCGGTGGTGGAGGTGACAGCGGTGTTGGGAGTGGTGACAGGGGCGGAGGTGGCAGCGGAGGCGGAGGTGGTCGTGGCAGCGGCAGGGGTGGAGGTGGCCGGGGCGGAGGCGGAGGGGGTGGTGGTCGTGGAGGCCCGGGGGGCGGTCAGAGTCAGCAGCCTGCCCCGACCCTTCAGGCCGCCCGTGAGTGGTATGCGCGGCGCAGCGTCACCTGCCAGTACGTTATTCGTACAGGTGACCGCACTGGCCAGACGTGTGGGGGGCCGCACCAGACGGAGCGCTGCTTCGCCCGCCTCAACGATGCGTGGCGCACTCAGTTTCCTGGTGGGGGTGAGCTGCCGCGCTGGGCTGATCTGCTCAGGAAGGGTGTTGATATTTGGGCACTTGACTTTGATGCTATTCTCACTGCCATGTATGCGATGTCTATTAGTGGAGAGGGTGCTCAGTACTTGCGTGTTCCGCCCGACCCGGGCATTCAGGCCAGCCCCGCTGCTGCTCTAGGTGCTAGTGTGTCTGCTTCCACAGGTACTTCTGCAGCTGCTGCTCTAGGTGCTTGTGCGTCTGTGCCCCCTGGTACTGAGTCGACTGCAGCACTGCACACCTTCACACTGGACTCAGGTGCTTCTCGCTCTTTCTTTTGTGACCGCACTGTCCTTGAGCCTCTAGCTCGGCCGGTTGCTGTCTCTCTTGCTGACCCCTCTGGGGGTCCGGTCCTTGCGACCTCCTCCACCACCCTTCCGTGTCCAGCGGTTCCGTCCGGCACGCTCTCAGGTCTCTACCTCCCCTCGTTCTCCACGAACTTGGTGGCAGGTAGTGCGCTCCAGGACTCGGGTGTTCACCAGTTCACCCCTGCCTACGAGCGTGTGACTCACTGCACGTGTGCTCGGACGGGCCGCCACCTAGCTACTTTCACTCGAGAGCCGGGGTCTGACCTGTACACACTGACCACTGAGTCCCCTCAGGTAGCTGCGTCTGCGTCAGCGTCAGGTCAGCTGTCCGCCCCCTGCTCGTGTCGCTCTCTGGCGAACGACACCGTCCTCTGGCACCACCGCCTTGGTCACCCGTCTGTGCAGCGCCTGCGGGCCATGCACAAACGGGACCTTGTTGCTGGTCTTCCCAGGGTGCTCCCTCCCCTTCCTGACTCCCCTGCTCCTGACTGCATTCCCTGTGTCGAGGGGCGGCAGCGCGCTGCTCCTCACTCCTCCTCCTTTCCCCCGACGACCGCTCCCCTGCAGACACTCCACATGGACGTGTGGGGCCCGGCCCGCGTCCGTGGTCAGGGTCAGGAGAGGTACTTCCTGATAGTTGTTGACGACTACTCGCGCTACACCACGGTCTTCCCCTTGCGCGCCAAGGGTGACGTCCCTGGTGTTTTGATCCCCTGGATCAGCCGAGCCCGTCTCCAGCTAGGCGAGCGCTTTCACTCGGACTTTCCTGTCCTGCGCTTGCACTCTGACAGGGGTGGTGAGTTCGCCTCCGACCTCTTGGCAGCCTACTGTGCTGAGCACGGCATTGAGCAGTCGTACACGCTTCCGGCCTCTCCACAGCAGAATGGGGTTGCTGAGCGCCGCATTGGCTTAGTCATGGAGGTCGCTCGTACCTCCCTGACCCATGCGGCTGCTCCCCACTTTCTGTGGCCGTTTGCGGTCCGGTACGCAGCGCATCAGCTCAACCTCTGGCCCCGTGTCTCCTTGCCGGAGACTTCCCCGACTCTACGGTGGACGGGAGAGGTTGGCGATGCGTCGCGTTTCCGGGTCTGGGGATCTCGAGCTTTTGTCCGCGACACGTCCGCGGACAAGCTCTCGCGTCGCACTGTTCCCTGTGTCTTTCTTGGCTTTGTTCCCGACGCGCCTGGATGGCAGTTTTACCACGTCACCTCGCGCCGGGTTCTGGCCTCTCAGGACGTCACTTTTGACGAGTCCGTCCCCTTCTACCGCCTCTTCCCCTACCGCACTGCCCCGCTCCCCCCCCCGCCTCTCTTCCTCGCTCCAGGTGCTGAGGTACCAGACCCCCTTCCCCCTCAGGGTGCCGCTCCCTCAGGTGTGTCCCAGGTAGACCCGGGTGAGCCTGTCGAGGTAGCTGTTGACTCGCGTCCTGCGTCTGGGGGTGCTGAGCCTGGGAGTGCTGCGTTTGAGGGTGCGGAGCCTGGGGGTGCTGAGCCTGGAGGTGCGGAGCCTGGGGGTGCTGAGCCTGGAGGTGCGGAGCCTGGAGGTGCGGAGCCTGGAGGTACTGAGCCTGGAGGTGTGGAGCCTGGGGGTGCGGAGCCTGGAGGTGCGGAGCCTGGAGGTGCTGAGTCTGGACGTGCTGAGTCTGGGGGTGCTGAGTCTGGGGGTGCTGAGCCTGAGCGTGCTCCACCTGGAGGAGCCCCCTCCTCCCAGCAGCTGCAGGAGAGGTACCTCGAGTACTGCCGCCTACGGAGAGGTGCTTCTGGAGCTCGTCCCGGTACTTCCCCTCCTACCCAGGAGCTCCCCCCCATTCAGGTGATCCGCGAGTGGTACACGCGGCGCTGCAGTCTTCGTAGTGGTGCTCCTGGTACTGCGGACCCGAGCGGTGGTGCTGTTGCTGGTGCTGAGGACCCGGACGCTGGAGCTGCTGCTGGTGCTGAGGACCCGGGGGCTGGAGCTGCTGCTGGTACTGAGGACCCGGGCGTTGGAGCTGCTGCTGGTGCTGAGGACCCGACCGGTGGCGCTGCTGCTGGTGCTGAGGACCTGACCAGTGGCCCTGCTGCTGGTGCTGAGGACCCGGACGTTGGAGCTGCTGCTGGTGCTGAGGACCCGACCGGTGGTGCTGCTGCTGGTGCTGAGGACTCGGGCGTTGGAGCTGCTGCTGGTGCTGAGGACTCGGGCGTTGGGGCTGCCACTGGTGTCCCTGCTGCTTCTGGAGACGCTGCGCGACCGCGACCGTACTTCGTACCGCTCCTTCAGCAGGTTCTTGGTCAGGCTCCTCCTCCTTGTCCTCCTCCCTCCGTCGAGTGTCCTCTGCCTGTCCAGCCGCAGTCACAGTTACCGCCTGTCTCGCCTCTCCCTGCTCCCTCCCCTTACGCTGGTCCCACAGGAGGTCTTACAGAGCGTCGTGAGCCTGAGTCTCGTCCTGCGTCGCCTGTTCGTACTGCTCGCACTGGTCGTCGTGTCCCACGTGAGCGTCCTCCTCCTGTCCCTGGCACTCACTACATGACTCTGCGTCCCTCCACTGCTCCGCAGCGTGTCCCGCTGCCGTCTCCTCCTGCGTCCTCTCTTCCTACTCTTCCTGACCCGGAGTCTGACTCCCGTCGTGCTGCCAGTCCCACTGTTACGCGTCTCCTCGCTACAGTTGTCACTGACCCGACCTTTGAGTCCTCTGCTGCGTCTGCTCTGGTCGCTGAGTTGGTTGACTTTGCTGCTCGCTGTCGCCTAGACTACGCTGCCAGCCTTGTCGCTAGGTCTGAGTCTGCGTCTGCCTGTCCTCCGTCCGTCCTCTCTCTCTCTCTCTCTCTCTCTCTCTCTCTCTCTCTCTCTCTCTCTCTCTCTCTCTCTCTCTCTCTCTCTCTCTCTCTCTCTCGGGCCACCTTCTTGCTTCTCCGCCTGATTCCTTTGCAGCCATCCTCTCTGCCCGCAGGTGCTCTTCTGCTTTCTCACGATGCGCTCCCCCATCTGCCCTTGAGGTGCTGGGTGACGAACGTTCACTACTCCTGCCTCGCGCCTTCCCTTCCAGCCGCCGCCTCCTTGCTGGCGAGCACTGAACGTGCCTTCCTTCTTGATTCTCGTCCTCCTGCTCTTTCGACCATTCCGGCGATTTCCTTCCTCCCATCACCATACGCCTCCTGCCCACACGGCCTTGACCCGGCTCGGGCGACCGATACACTCTTGCTGGTGCAGCACGGCTCTTCTCCTCCTCCCCTCATTCCCTTGACAATGGCTTAGCTGCTTCGCTCTTCTTGCGCCTCGCTTCACCTCCACGCGATCCCTTGGGCGAGTATTCTGCTCCTCTGATTCCTCGACCGTCATCCCACTCTTCTTAATGATGCTTCTGTCCATCTGCTTCCCTCTCATATTTTCCCTTCACGCAACCCCGTGTAGTTGGTGTCTCTTTCCGTTGTGCCATGTCCTGCATTCCACCACCCCGCGCAATTGGGGTACCCTCGCGTTCCTCTCTGCAGCGCCTTGCGCTACTCCCACGCACCACCTCTGGCGTGCAACCTGCCTCCCAGCTTCCGCAGCGCCTCGCATCACCCCCACGCATCTCCCCTGGCGCGCAATCTGGATCCGCAATATTTCCTTGGCGCCTCGCGCCTCTCCCGCACATCCCCTCTGGTGCGCGAGCTGCCTACGCGACGTTCCCCTGACGTCTCACGCCACTCCCGCGTAACTCCTCTGGTGCGAAATCTGCATCGGCGCTCCCGTGACGTTTCGCGCCGCCGCCGTGCATCCCTACCAGCGACCCATTTTCGCCTGTGTCGTTGCTCCCTTCGTCGCGCTCTTCTTTCGCGACTTCCTTATCACCATCCCGCATCGTCGAGACCTCTTCTGCTTCCTCGCCATCGGCCTCGTTTGCCAACTCCGACGATTCCACCACGTCTGCGTCGTCGTGACGCCTTCCACCCTCTCCTTGCTGGCCGCCTGCCAGATTCCAAGGACTGCTGCTGGACGGTCGAGGCCTGGGCTCTGATCCCGCGTGCAGATCTGCCTCGCCTCTACCTCGACATCCGTCAAACGCCAGATTTGTGCGGTACGCCGCCCTCCGTGGCGAACGTGTCCCCGATCTCCCACGCTTCAGTGAGTGCGTCCTCCGCGACGGTGAAGAATCTTGCCGCGAGTTCATTTACTGCCAGCGCAGCTCGTGGCAGTCCATTCTGCCCAATCTTTTCTCTCGTTTGTGAGAGATTCTCCCTCCTACACGATGACTGCCCCTTGTGGCTTAGTCACCTAGCTGTAGTAGCGTCGATCGGCAACGTACATCCACTATAATAGGCAAACAAATGAGAGAATAGGATTTGCAGACTAGGCTAGGCTACTTAAACCGCCTTCCCTCCTCGTGAATGTTTCATCGAGTTGGGTTGGGCTCGAGTCGCCTGGGCGTGGATTGGCCCTCGCAAATTTTCTGTTCCCCAAGGGTCCTCGAATGCTTCCTCCTAGGCACTCCGCAAGCTCCAATATCACCAACTTCACGTCACCCCCTGTACCCCAACTACCACTCGGTGAAACTGCATACAACAAAGTACACGCATCTACACCTCACTAAGCATGGAACTGAATATACTGTTCGTAACTGTAAATTCAGTGACAAGTCTCATGTCGACATTGGGATACCAGCCCTCGATCGCCCTTGCCATCGCGACCTCAGCGACGGTCGCATGCCTTCGCAGATCCTCGTCGAGGTAACCTAATCGACCGGGTCAACCACCCAGCATACACCCTGGTTAACGACCTTTCTCATCGACTACCGCGCCCGTCGAAGACCCCTCTTGTCGACAGACCCCTCCGTTGACCAACTTGATCAGCTCCGGCCGTCGAGATCCCCTAGTCAACGGCTCCAGCTCCGCGACTGTTCTGTGCGGGTCGACGACCACACCTGCTCCGCAAAAGGAGGCCGTCGGCTCCCCGCCGACGGCATCGCCGTAACGGTCCCCTGTAGCTCGACGAGGCCCGTCAAGCTGCTCGCCTAGGCTGGCGTCAACCACAGAATGCAATCGGCTGCTTCTTCCGTGCACCCGATCAGGAAGTCGGCGTCGCCCAAGCGAGGGCGGGGGCAACACTCCATTTCAGTTAACACTCCCCTGCCGCACTCACGCTTGGGCACCCTACCCACACGGCAGAACTCTACGGAGAAAAACTCAGTGCCGACGTGCACCCAATACACAGCACGCCGTCACCGCACCAGCCGTGCAGAAGGGCATGATATCTACTGCTGCACATCGTCATTACTGCCATTGACATCCGGCAGGCACACCTGGCTGATCGCGACGGAGCACCAATTGAAGGACAGAAAGTGGAGCGCCTTTGTCAGGAAGTCTGCTGGCTGCTTGAAAGTTGAAATGTACCTCAGCACGAACTTCCAGCACTTCACCATCTGCTGCAGCAAGGTGTAGCGTCGCTCCATGTGCTTGAGGTTCCCCTTCAGCCCCAAGCCCTCAGGGACATTGATCGCCGACTTGTTGTCCACCTGGAGGACAATCGGCTTCCCAACGCCGAGCAGCTGAAATTCTGCAAGATGAAAGCAAAGTCGACACCCCTCCTTGCCAGCTTCTGTGGCTGCGACATACTCCGAATCCGTCGAGGAGAGCGTCGCGCACTTGATGCGCTGGCTTGACCAGAAGACCGCGGCCCCTCCGAAGACAAACACGTGGCTGCCCGTGCTCGTTCGGTTCTGCTTGTTGCTAGCGTCGTTGGCATACACGTAGCCGACCAACTTCTACGACTATGGTCCACTACCAAACTCCAGTGCAATGTCACTTGTTGGCGAGGTAGGCGAGGCAGCGGTCGACCTCGTGCCAGTGTTGGACGCTCCACACCGTGAGGCCGCAACCCAGCATGTTGCAGGCGGAGGCGATATCCGGTCTCGTTGTCGTCGCCGCGAACTACAGCGAGCCAACCATTTGCTGATGCTCCTCCTCCTCGCGCTCCTACGCCTCCTCGTCGTCGAATGCTAGCTCAGCATAGGCGTCGTATTGCTCACGATCCATCACTTTAAGAGCTTACGGCGAACTCATTTCTCATCTAAACCAAGTTTGATCGGTAGGAATATGTGCCTTACGCTTAGCTACCATCTCCAATTTGAATAAACTGTGAGAACAAGTTGAAAATGTATAATAGCTGCATGACTAGAATGATGGAGGAAGTAAAATCATTAAGGCAAGACATGGTTGGAGACCGGGACTCCAGAAGAACCATGAGAGGGAAAGGGTCCTCCAAGAGCTAAGAAGGATGGTTGCAACCTTCCTAGCAGCAAGGATGCAACCCTCATCATGAGGTCCTTGAGGTGTCACATGCAAAATCCAATCTAATTGGATTTTGCATACGTGTGGCAACATTTGCAACCCATGCAAGAAACTTCTAGCCACCACAATCGCAATACGCCTGCGGAAGGAGCTCCACGGGCTATTCTAACTCCTTCATCGCTTCATCTTTGAGGATGTAGCTGGTGAGGGAGTCCTCATCAAGCGACTCCCACGTGCTCGAAACCAATAGCATCCGGCGCATGAAGTTGTAGCCGCTTGGCAGGCCTCTGACAATGTGTGTGATGTAGGATGCCATCAATTATGTAATGTCCACCATCCGCATTTCGGCGAACATCTGTCGAGCACGGATGTAGTGGTCCGTCGTCGACTCTTGCTTGCCCATCCGGACGTGTGTCATTTGCTCCTCTAGCTGTCCAATGTATAGGTCGCCCGTCGCCTGGTACTTTGATAGGATGAACTTCCACGCCTTGTGGCCAGCATCCAGTCGCTCTCGACAAGGTTTCAGCTCTATCTGCACCACCGGCGAGCAACACCTCGAGATGACCATGAAGGTGAGCAAGTGAGCCGAGCGAAACTCCCCACTCAGCTCGACCTCGTCCTTGTTCGGGATCGGCACAGTTCCTTCGGCGAAGCCCTTCAGCCCCGGAATCTCCAGCTGAGGCTCGATAGCCTCCCTTCACGTGATGAGGTCACGCCGACCTTGCAGCAGTGGGGTCATGGAGATTTTGTCCGGCGAGAACTTAAAGTACTCATACGCCAGAGCGATCCCTCCCCCTGTCACACGCGTTGTCGATGAGGGCCTCCTGTTGCTTCGAGGAGGAGAGTGACGTCGACCATCGACGTCGACGCGCGAGCTGCCTGCGGCTTCCGTCGACCGCTGCACTCGCGCCTGATTCCCTTCGACACCACAGTCGACGGACCTGATCACCTCACTTGTCTTCGTGCCCTCGCTGCCAACGACTCGACCACCTCGTCGATGCCACCTTCGTTCTGCACCGGTCGAGGAGATGCAGGTCGGGAGGGGTGTTCCGCCACCCACTTGGGCGCAGATGCTCAGCTCAACGACCTCCAAGGGGAGCACTGCGGAGATAAATACTTCAACGGGGCTAGACTATGGGGTAGGCACGGGGTAGGAGTGTTTGTAGCGTTCGTTCCTTAGTCGTTTGCTTTGTTCTCTCTATGCACACATGCACCGGGAGAATTTGCAAGAGTTTCACTAGCAAAAGTTATGAACAATGGTACGGAATAGTTGCAACAACATTGGCAATGCTGACTACATTAGCTAGCAAGCATGCGCATCACGTGAACAGCGCAGACGCCAAGTTGAGAACACGCCAGCGACTGCGCCCACCAGTTACGTCGACCTCGGGATACCACTTCCGAGGTCGGCCTCGCAGAAACCACTTGAGCGACGATCGCGCACCTCCGTGCGTCGCCCGGGTAACTTGGTCGACCGAGCAATCAGATTGACGCCACCAGATTGGCATCCTCCCTGGCCGACTTCACCAAGTCGTCAGCCTTTCTAGGTCGGCGCCATGAAGTCGGTGCCTTGCCAGGTCGACCTCGCTGGGTCGACCACCCAAATTCAGCGCCCTTCCGAGGTCGACGAGCCTGTCGTCAACCACCCACATACGTCGGCCGCCGGCATCTCCAAAGTCGGTGGCTTGGTAGTGGCTCCACGCAGGTCGACCACACCCATCGAACAGCTCCCCAAAGTCGATGTCGCTCACTGCTACAGACCGGCTGCGCTCCCCGCACACCCGACTACGAAATTGGCTCCGTCCAAGCGAGGACGGGGCCAACAAACAACTCACGTTGACAAGTTGAAGGAGAATGAGCGATGAAGGCTGTTCCACGCTCAACGCACCATGCAGAGAGTCACTCTACAACGGTCGGGAGCTAGACTACGGGAATGGGCACGAGCTCTAGGAGTAATCATAGATTTACCTGTGTTCCTAAGCACTTGCACATTCATGGGAGAAACTAGCAAGAGTTTTCACTAGCAAAGTTGGAATTACAGAATAATAAAACAAGAAATGGCAAGAATGACTACATCAGAGCCTAGCAACCTAGCAACCAGGCTGGTCGGCATAGCATGGTCGTCCGCCTGACAGCGTAGCATAAAGACACCGCGCCAGCGTTACAGAAGAGCGATCTACCAGCGCAACAAAGTCTGTGGCTCGCCAATACTGCACCATGGCGACTTGCCAATATTGCAACAGAGCGGACCGCCAACGTTGCAACCACGGATGATAGTGGCGCAGGTGCGCATCCACTTTGCAGGTGCGCAGCGACGGTCGAGTACGTCCTCTACCGTCGCGCGGGTGCCAGGTCAGCCACGTGCAGACGATCGCGCTGGAAGCCCTACGTCGGATACCAGCCCGAGGTCGCCCTTGCCATCGTGACCTCAACGAAGGTCTCGTGCCTCCGCAGTTCCTCGTCGAGGTAACCTGGTCGACCGGGTCGACCACCCAGCGTGCGCCCTGGTCGACGACCTCCCTCGTCGACCACCACACCAGTCGAAAACCCCTTCTGTCGACGGACCCCTCCGTCGACCAACTTGGTCAGCTACGGCTGTCAAGCTCCCCTCTCCAGCTCCGCGACTGTCCTGTGCAGGTCGACGACCACCTCGTCGACCTGTTCCGCAGAATCAGGCCATCGGCTCCCATCGACAGCATCGCCGCAATGGTCCCTCTCCAAGAGACCCGTCGAGCTGCTCGCCCAAGCTGGTGTCGACCACTTCGTATGGTTGGCTGCATCTTTTGTGCACCCGACCAAGGAGTCGGCGTCGCCCAAGCGAGGGCGGGGCCAACACTCCATTCCCGTTAACATCAGACACATCATTAGCAACGTTGACCTGGTTACGAAAATATAAAACCCACATTCCACTCTCATTGTGCATTCATTTCACAATCACAATTTGCTCGTGGCAACGGGGGTGAAGTAAGCAAAATGCTGTTAACTTGTTACACGCACATGCCACTCGACTACTTGGTATTCTTGAAATGGGCACTGTCTGTACTGTACCACTCGTTCGCCATGAGCTGCATTGGCTTGGGTGAATGAGGGCACGGGTGCTGGGCAGGGCTCTCGATTCATTTTGGGGCACGCTCCCTGCTTCGAGTTGTGACCCACTACACTTTGCCACTGTAGTGTGCCTTAGCAGGCGTACCCGAAGAATAGCAGTGTGTGTGTGTGTGTGTGTGTGTGTATGTGTGTGTGTGTGTGTGTGTATGTGTGTGTATGTGTGTGTGTGTGTACGTGTGCGCGCACGCGTGTGTGTGTGTGTGTGCGTGCGCGTGTGCGCGTATGTGTGCGTGTGTGTGTGCGTGTGTGTGTGTGTGTGCGTGTGTGCGTGCGTGTGTGTGTGTGTGTGTGCGTGTGCGTGTGCGTGTGCGTGCGCGCGCGGGCGCGCGCGTGTGTGTGTGTGCGTGCGTGCATGCGTGCGTGCGTGCGTGCGTGCGTGCGTGCGTGCGTGCGTGTGTGTGTGTGTGTATGTGTATGTGTGTGTGTGTATGTGTGTGTATTTGTTTGTGTGTGTGTGTGTATGTGGGGGTGTGTGTGTGTGTGCGTGTGCGCGTGCGTGCGTGTGCGCGTGTGCGGACACATTTTGGCTTAGTTGGAGAGGTTCCGCACAAGGGAAAATGTTGGCCAGGTATCTGCCTGACGAGCCGAAAAACGACAGAGTGAAACATAAAGGCACTATTTTGCAGGTGTTTAGGGTTTTGCACCGATTTGACCACGGTAGGCTTCCGTGTATTTTCTAGATGCATTCATGCTGGTTGCATTGTGCGGATGTTGCTGCCCCATAGAACTTGTGCGGAGGCTGCTAGCTTCCTGAGGTAGAATCAGCACCACACTAGTTGTGCGACCGTTTGCCCGGCGAAGCAGCTTCTTCGAACCAGCTGACAGTAAATTTTGTGCGCCCCTAAAAGTTGTGTTATGCAGGCAGAAGCGTTAAATTTGGCGCCAACAGGTTTGGTAGAAATTCTCGTCTCACCAAACATTGCTAAGCAGAAGACTAAATATCAACGCCTACAGAATAGCGCCAAGAGTGAAACACCACTTGCAGGGGTGTGTTTCTAAGGACGCGTGCCTTTTGAGAATTTTGTAAAGTTCATGTTTTTTTCTCGATTTTTCCCGTTTGTACTCTGGTCGACTTGTAGTCGACCATCTCGACTTTTGGAGGGCAATTTCATCATTACCTTTCGCATCAAGCAAGGGGCACAACAAAGTTTGACTTTCAAAGCTTGACTTTATACAGTAAAAACCGAGTCGCGCACTAAATTTCGTATGTTACTTGGTTTGACTGCGTAGTTCATTATCGAATCCAAATTCCATAACGTGGTTTTTTGTACATCGTTATTTTCACTGTGCACTAGAGGAATAACACACGTTTGGATAAACGGGCATGCGACAATTCGACCCTAGTTCATTGTCCTTCGGTTTCATCAATCTTTGAACTTGAACACACGATTCTCGCAAAGAGCTCCAAACGAAATAAACGAAAGGGGTAACCAGCAAAAGTTCGACCTTTTTTTTTAGCTTCTACACCAAAAGACACGTGACTCAAGGGCGCGAAACCATTTTGCATTTCTCGATTTTGAGGGACAGTCCGATTAAAACGAAGCGGACGGTCCTAATATCGAGAACGGGACCGTCCGAATTGAATCTTTGCAACTTCGAACTGTTCGAAGGCAAATGTAACACTTTTTTGGGGTTGTGTGTCAGAATCTAGAAAAGAACGAGAATGGATGAACTAGCAGGAAGGTGGGTACAAGTATGAAACCCTAAGTTTGTGTACCCTCTAAGGCTAAACCCACTATAGCCTACACAATATAAACATACAATGTTTGACACACCCCCATAGGCGAAGTGGGAGACAACCAGAGGGTCACAAGACCAGTCAAAGCAAAGCAAAGCAAAACAGGCTCAGGGTGGATCTCAAGGATACCACACAAATTCCGAGCACAAGCAAGCGGTCACAAGACCAGTTCACATGCAGTTTGATAATATAGCAAGAGATACAGTGATCGCAACCTAGCAAGTGTAAGCATGCAGGTATATATATAGAGATCACAGTACAAACAGAGTCAAGAAGTAAGCAAGTGAGGTCCAGCAGGCACAAGGCCTAGAAGAGTACAGAAGCGCTGATGGTCACAAGGCTGAAGTGCCTTGGTGAACACATCAGCAGTGTTGGCCTCAGTGGCCACGTAACGCAGACAAAGCTGACCACGCTGCTGCAGCTCTCGAGCAAGGAAGTACCGCAGGGCGATGTGCTTCGTTCTGTGCTCCAGTCTGTGCTCCTCACACAAGGCAATGGCAGCCTTGTTGTCGACGTACAGCACTGGAGGAGAACGAGGCCGCTCTCCCAAGTCGGTCAGCAGGTAGGTCAGCCAGCGTAGCTCCTGGGCCGCCATGGCTGTGGCGTAGATCTCAGCCTCACAACTGGAGCTGAGAACAGAAGAAGAGCGTGTGGAACGCCAAGAAACTGAGCCGGAGCCAAGGCTGAAGGTGTAACCCTGAGACGACCGCTGAGTAGCCTGGTCGTCCGCCCAAGAAGCGTCTGAGTGACCAGTGAGTACAACTCGGTCTCGCCCTCCAAGCACTAGCCCCATGCCCGACGTACTGCACAAGTAGCGCAACACCCTCTTAGCAGCATCCATGTGCTCCTTCCTGTGACGGCCAGGAGCGACATAGCGTGCAAGGATGCTAAGAGGGTATGCAAGGTCAGGTCGAGTGCAGGTCATCAGGTACATGAGGCAGCCCACAAGCTCTGGATACGGGCCACTCGGCTCTACGGACTCATCCGAAGGCAGAGCTGAGAGCGAGTGACCTGTAGGCAGAGGAGTGGACTGTGGCGAGGAGTACGTGAAGCGGAAGCGCTGAAGGATCTGCTGCACCATGTGTGACTGAGTCAAGGTAATGGTGCGCCGTGCTCTGTCCCGGGTGATCCGCAAGCCAAGATAGCTTGTCAGTTCACCCAGGTCTGTGCACGTGTGTCTCTTCTGCAGCTCCGACTTCACGTGGGCGAGTGCCTCAGTGTCAACAGTGGCAAAGACCAAGTCGTCGACGTACACGAGGATGTAGAACGGCGGCAGCGAGGTGTCGGTGCGTAGAAACAGCGACGGGTCAGCAGTAGAAGGAGCGAACCCAAGAGCCGCAAGTGTAGTCCTCAGTGTGTCGTGCCACTCGCGCGGCGCCTGGCGGAGACCGTAGACCGGTCGCTGGAGCCTCCACTGGGTGCCAGGAGGAACCGACCCAGTGAAGCCAGGAGGGCGACGCAGCCAGATCTCCTCGTGCAGGCTGCCCTGCAAGAAAGCTGTGCTGAAGTCAAGTGAGTGAAGCTCGTAGTCGCGCTGAGCGGCTATGTGCAGCAGCACCCGAAGAGTAGTCATCTTCGGGGTGGGGGAGAAGGTCTGGAAGAAGTCTACTCCCTCTCGCTGACTGAAGCCTCGAGCAACGTAGCGCGCCTTGAAGACAGGAGGAGAACCCGGCGGCCGCTTCACCCTGAAAATCCACATGCCACTGACGATGTTCGCCCCAGGTGGGGGAACCTCGTCGACGTAGGTGCCTGTGGACTTCCAGGAAGCCATCTCTGCGTCCATAGCTGTCTGCCACTGAGAGGAGTAGGGACCCTCTATCGCCTCTGCGTAAGAGCGCGGGATCGGGATGTCTGGTGCATCCGGGTCTCCCTCAGGGGCAACTAGCATGGACACGAGATGGGGCAAAGCAGCAGCAAAGCACTGGAACTCCTCCTGTCTGTCCTCAAGGACGTCCGTGCCAAGAGCACACTCACCCCCGACGGACGGAGGACAGACAGACTCAGACTCAGCAACAAGGCTAGCGGCGTAGTCTAGACGACACCGGGCAGCAAAGTCTATCAACTCAGCGACCAGAGCAGACGCAGCAGAGGACTCAAAGGTAGGGTCAGTGACAACAGTAGCGAGGAGACGGGTGACAGTGGGACTGGCAGCACGACGAGAGTCAGACTCCGGATCAGGAAGAGTAGGCAGAGAGGACGCAGGAGGAGACGGCAGCGGGACACGCTGAGGAGCAGTGGAGGGACGCAGAGTCATGTAGTGAGTGCCAGGGACAGGAGGAGGACGCTCACGGGGGACACGACGACCAGTGCGAGCAGTACGAACAGGCGACGTAGGACGAGACGCAGGCTCACGACGCTCTGCAAGACCTCCTGTGGGACCAGTGTAAGGAGAGGGACCAGGAAGAGGCGAGGCAGGCGGTAACTGTGACTGCAACTGGACAGGCGGAAGACACTCTACGGAGGGAGGAGGACAAGGAGGAGGAGCCTGACCAAGAACCTGCTGAAGGAGCGGTACGAAGTACGGTCGTGGCCGCGTAGCGTCTCCAGAAGGAGCAGAGACACCAGCGCCCGGGTCCTCAGCACCAGTAGCAGCTCCACCGCCCGGGTCCTCAGTACCAGCAGCAGCTCCACCGCTCGGGTCCTCAGTACCAGCAGCAGCGCCACCGCTCGGGTCCGCAGCACCAGCAGGAACTCCACCAGCCGGGTCCTCAGCACCAGCAGGAACTCCACCAGCCGGGTCCTCAGCACCAGTAGCAGCTCCAACGTCCGGGTCCTCAGCACTAGCAGCAGCGCCACCGCTCGGGTCCTCAGCACCAGTAGCCGCGCCACCGCTCGGGTCCTCAGCACCAGCAGCAGCTCCACCAGTCGGGTCCGCAGCACCAGCAGCAGCTCCAACGTCCGAGTCCGCAGCACCAGGAGCACCACTCCGAAGACTGCAGCGCCTCGTGTACCACTCTCGGATCTGCTGGAGGGGGGGGAGCTCCCGGGCAGGAGGGGAAGCACCGCGACCAGCTCCAGCAGTACCTCTCCGGAGGCGGCAGTACTGTAGGTACCGCTCCTGCAGCCGCTGTGAAGAGAGGGCTCGTCCCGGTGGAGTACCCCCAGACTCAGCACCCCCAGGCTCCGCACCCGCAGACTCAGCACCGTCAGGCTCACTACCCCCAGGCTCAGCACCCCCAGGCTCCGCACCTCCAGACTCAGCACTCCCAGGCTCAGCACCCCCAGACGCAGCACCCCCAGGCTCAGCACCCCCAGGCTCAGCACCCCCAGCAGGACGAGAGTCAACAGCTACCTCGACAGGCTCACCCGGGTCTACCTGGGACACACCTGAGGGAGCGGCACCCTGAGGAGAGGTACTTCCTGATTGTTGTTGACGACTTCTCGCGCTACACCACGGTCTTCCCCTTGCGCACCAAGGGTGACGTCCCTGATGTCTTGATCCCTTGGATCCGCAGATCTCGTCTCCAGCTCAGTGAGCGTTTCCGCTCCGACTTCCCTGTCCTGCGTCTGCACTCTGACAGAGGTGGGGAGTTTTCCTCTGGCCTCTTGGAGGCCTTCTGTCAGCAGGAGGGCATTGAGCAGTCGTTCACGCTTCCGGCCTCTCCACAGCAGAATGGGGTTGCTGAGCGCCGCATTGGCTTGGTCATGGAGGTCGCTCGTACCTCCTTGGTTCATGCGGCTGCCCCCCACTTTCTGTGGCCGTTTGCAGTCCGATACGCTGCGCATCAGCTCAACCTCTGGCCCCGTGTCTCCTTACCGGAGACTTCTCCGACACTGCGTTGGACGGGAGAGGCTGGCGATGCGTCGCGTTTTCGGGTCTGGGGATCCCGAGCTTTTGTTCGCGACACGTCCGCGGACAAGCTCTCCCGTCGCGCTGTCCCCTGTGTCTTCCTTGGCTTTGTCCCAGACGCGCCTGGTTGGCAGTTCTACCACGCCACCTCGCGTCGTGTCCTGGCCTCTCAGGACGTCACTTTTGACGAGTCCGTCCCCTACTACTGCCTCTTCCCCTACCGCACTGCCCCACTCCCCCCCCCGCCTCTCTTCCTGGCTCCAGGTGCTGAGGTACCAGACCCCCTCCCCCCTGACCCTGACCACGGACGCGGGCTGGGCCCCACACGTCCATGTGGAGCGTCTGCAAAGGAGCAGTCGTCGGGGGAAAGGAGGAGGAGTGAGGAGCGGCGCGCTGCCGCCCCTCGACACAGGGAAGACAGGGAGGAGCAGGCGAGGGTGGGAGGGGAGGGAGCACCCTGGGAAGACCAGAGACAAGCTGCCGTTTGTGCATGGCACGAAGGCGCTGCACAGACGGGTGGCCAAGTCGGTGGTGCCAGAGAACGGTGTCGTGCGCCAGAGAGCGACACGAGCAGGGGGCCGACAGCTGACCTGACGCAGACGCGGACGCAGCTACCTGAGGGGACTCAGTGGTCAGTGTGTACAGGTCCGACCCCGGCTGCCAAGTGAAGGTAGCCAGGTGACGGCCTGTCCGAGCACCCGTGTAGTGTGTCACGCGCTCGTAGGCAGGGGTGAACTGGTGAACACCCGCATCCTGGAGTGCACAACCCGCCACCAAGTTCGTAGAGAACGAGGGGAGGTGGAGACCTGACAGTGTGCCCGACGGGACCGCAGGACAGGGAAGAACAGTGGAGGAGGTCGCAATGACCGGACCCCCAGAGGGGTCAGCGAGGGAGACAGCAACTGGCCGAGCAAGCGGCTCAAGGGCAGTGCGGTCACGAAAGAAACAGCGAGAAGCACCTGAGTCTAGGGTGAAGGTGTGCAGGGCCTCAGTCGACTCAGTACCAGGGGGCGCAGACTCACTAGGACCTAGAGTAGCAGCCTCACCAGCACCTAGGGCAACAGACGTACTAGCACCTAGAGCGGCAGCCTCACTGACAGGACACGGCAGCTGCACCTGTCCACTACCAGAAGCTCCCGAACGATGCACTCCAGAGCGACTACCACTACGGCCACTCCGACAGCTCAAACTAGCGTACCACTCACGCGCACGAAGCAGCTGGGGCGAAGGAGGACACGGCTGCTGCACCTGTCCACTACCAGAAGCTCCCGACCGATGCACTCCAGAGCGACTACCACTACGGCCACTCCGACAGCCCAAACTAGCGTACCACTCACGCGCACGAAGCAGCTGGGGCGAAGGAGGACACGGCAGCTGCACCTGTCCACGACCAGAAGCTCCCGACCGACCCACTCCAGAGCGACTACCACTACGGCCACCCCGACAGCCCCGACTAGCGTACCACTCACGCGCACGAAGCTGCTGGGGCGTGGGGGACTCACGCGCACAGCCCTGGAGCTGCATCTGGCCACGTCAGAGTAGCAGTAGTAGCAGTAGCGGCAGTAACAGTAGTAACAGCAGGAGCAGTGGCAGTGGGAGTAGAAAAGGCAGTTGCAGCAGTACTGGGCAATGCTCACCAGTGGTCGGCGCGGCAGGCGCAAGACGGTGGCGACAGTGGGGCCGCTACAACTGCAGGGCTGGGCCGGGCCGCAGCAGGGAGCTCCGCGGGAGCTGGGGCAGGGCGAGGCTGGGCCGCGACGGCAGCTGCTCCAGGTGGGGCTGCTGCAGTGACGGGCGGCTCCAGGGGCGGCTGCTGCAGTGGCGAGCGGCTCCAGGGGCTGCTGCTGCAGTGGCGGGCGGCTCCAGGGGCTGCTGCTGCAGTGGCGGGCGGCTCCAGGGGCTGCTGCTGCAGTGGCGGCTGCTCCAGGGGCGAGAGGCGGATTAGGTCAGGGCGACGCGGCGGGCAGGTGGCGACGCCGCGGGCAGGGCGACGCGACGGGCAGGTGGCGACGCCGCGGGCAGGGCGACGCGGCGGGCAGGTGGCGACGCCGCGAGCAAGGGACGACGCCGCGGGCAGGCGACGACGCCGCGGGCAGGCGGCGACGCCGCGGGCAGGCGACGACGCCGCGAGCAGGCGACGACGCCGCGGGCAGGCGGCGACGCCGCGGGCAGGCGACGACGCCGCGGGCAGGCGACGACGCCGCGGGCAGGCGACGACGCCGCGGGCAGGCGACGACGCCGCGGACAGGGGCTACGTCGCGGGCAGGCAACGACGCCGCGGGAAGGCGGCGACGCCACGGGCAGGGCGACGCGGCGGGCGGCGAGAGCCTGCAGGGGCGGCGCGCGGTCGTGCAGAGGCTGCGCGCGGGCCTGACGGGTGTGCAGGGGCGGCTCTCGGGCCTGACGGGCCTGCAGCGGCGGCTCGGGGGCCTGACGGACCTGCAGGGGCAGCTCGAGAGCGCACGAGGGCGCACGAGGGCGCACGAGGGCGCACGAAGGCGCACTAGCAGAGAAAGGCGCACGAGGGCGCACGTAAGGTAGAGCGCACGAGGGCGCACGTAAGGTAGGGCGCACGAGGGCGCACGTAAGGTAGGGCGCACGAGGGCGCGCCTAGCGGAATAGTGGGCCCATTGTAGAAAGCGGTCCTAGGTAGCAACCTAGGCTTCTGATACCATGTCAGAATCTAGAAAAGAACGAGAATGGATGAACTAGCAGGAAGGTGGGTACAAGTATGAAACCCTAAGTTTGTGTACCCTCTAAGGCTAAACCCACTATAGCCTACACAATAAAACATACAATGTTTGACATTGTGAATTTCGGCGGCTACTGTAGCCTCGTTAGAGGCTCTGTATCTTCGTAGTTACCGAAAGGCGAAAGTTCGCAATAGATATCGTTCGCCAATCGAAAGGCGATACTGTACATCAAATTCGCCCGCCAATATCTAGCCAGGACTGATGGACTGTCCGTTCAGGTTTCGGACTGTCCACGGTTCACATTACGGACCATTGAAAATGTGAAAAAGTGTCACGACAGTCTGTTTGGTTGGCGACGTTGCCAACACCTCCGCGAAAACGCTAACGATAGCATGCGACAAGGGTTACATTTCGCCAGCCCGGATGGTCCGCAGTAGAATCGTCAGGTGCAAAATGGTTACGCGCCCTAACCTTGCGTGACGATGACAGGGTGGACGCCCAGCCAACCCCAATTCTAGCCGTGCGGGTCCGAATTTTCACCCTGAAATGCAGGGCAAACAGGGTAAAACGTCCTGCAATCGGAGCAGCTGCGCGCTAGGGTAACATGCACTTGATGCGATTGGAGCAGCATTCGGGTGTCCCGTGCTGCAGCCCACAGTTTACAGGCCCACGAACAGGCCCATTCAGTTTCCTGGCCCATACGATATGCAAATGTGCTGCTGCAGTGCGCCCTCAGTCCGCAGAACCGTTCCGCGCATCACAACATTCGCACCACAGTGCCAGTGCCCTTGGATCACATTCGCCACAACATCCCCAACCATTCCCTCCACCCTCACATCGCTTGTAGTACCTTGGCTGCCCTCACCCGCTCTTGATGCTCCTTTCCACGTTCGCTGCCTTCTCAAGCTAACACTGTCGCCAATTGTCGCATCTCCTGTCTCTCTGTCGCTGACTCCACCAAGCGACACTATGGCGACGCCTGTAGCTGTCGCGGGTGAGTCGCCTGTCTCCGCATTGTCTCCCTCCCTGCCGATCCCTGTCGCTGGCCCTGCCTCTCGTCCCGTCACTACCGACACAAGTCTACTGATTTGTATCTCTGCCGTCCGTCGGCTTTGCTCATTAATCCGCACCACTGACCATCTCTTTCCACGTGTCGCCGTCTGCGATGCTCGCCCTGCGCACACGCGTGCCGTCGCTTCTCTGCATTCGGTGCCGTGCCGTGCCATGCCATGCTGCGCCGTGCCTTGTCATCGCCGTTGCTGTGGCGATTGCCACTGCGGTGGGCGTGGCCACGGGCGGGGGGCAAGGGCAGAGCGGGAGCTGCGCGAGTATCTGCACGTCGCTGTGGCGGCTGCTCGCCAGGCGGGCGAGGTGCGCCGCATTGCCCCGCACAGCACGCCTCGCCCCGTGTGCGCGTGCCGCATGCCGAAAGGCATCTGGTTCACCCAACACCCGCTCGCATTCCGCGCCTTTCAGTGCCTCTTCCCCATCACGCTTCCTCGCTTGCATGACTTTGCGGCCTCAACCTCAGAAACTCTCCCTTTCCTCCCTCCCCTTTCACTCTCCTCCCTCTCATCTCCCTCTACTCTCCATCTCTTCCCTCCCTCTCCACTACCTCCCGGCTTCTTAGTAACCTTCAAGTGTCCTCCCATCCACTCCTCCATCCCTCCCTCCCAACCATCCCTCCCAACCATCCACCCATCCTCCCCCCTCCCATCCATTCGCCCGTGCATGCCTGCACACGTGTCACCAGGTGATTCGTCGCAGCTTCTATGCGCCAAAGGACGTGCAGCACAAGGGAAAGGTGAGGCGAGATGAGGGATGGAGCATGGCATGGCACGTCATGGAAGAGAGCATGGCATGCCAGCATGGCACGTGCTGTTAGAACATGGGATGTGTGGCGTTAGCGCATGACATGTAGTGTTAGAGAATGACGTGTGATGTTAGAGCACGGCATGTGATGTTGGAGCACGGCATGTGATGTTAGAGCACGGCATGTGATGTTGGAGCACGGCATGTGATGTTGGAGCACGGCATGTGATGTTGGAGCATGAAATCTGCTGTTACAGCATGGCATGCGTTCTGGGATTTTGAACCTGGAAATGGATGTGTTTAGTCTGGACGCTTTGCGAGCTCATTCCGTTTCCCTCCCGCTTTTCTGCTCGCAAAATCTGGCTTGCCACCCTGTTCCGCCACTAGTTCGACCTGGTCACAGAAACGGACAAGCAATGCGAGGCACTCATCATGCAGCACATCTCAGCCGCTTACCCTTCCCACAAGGCAAGCGAGGGTTGGAACCAGAAGCATCTGGGCTGTGCACCATCTGTTGGGTTAGGGTTAAAACGTGATTCTGGGTTCTAGCATGGTCATGTCATGGTTGTAGCACGCAGGCCAGTTTCTCTCGTCTTCGGTTTATTCCCCTTCTGTAATATCCCTCCTGCTTGCTGCGCTTTACCTTCCATCTGAACTGGCATGGCATCAGATCATAGGCGAGGAGGAGTCATCAGTGCATGGCACGGCGGGGCTGTCAGATGACCCCACGTGGATGGTGGACCCCCTCGATGGCACCACCAACTTCATACACCGGTGGGGCCTCTCATCTGTCATCTGCCATCTACCATCTGCCATCTACCATCTGCCATGTGTGCCGTGTGCCTTGTACCGTGTGCTGTGTGCCATTGTGATCCACAGCCCCGCCTCCCGCTCCACTGTCCGTCATTAAAGGAACGCGATCAACCCCTGTGGCTATGTCTGTGTGTGTGGCGTGGCATTGGGGGAGGGAGGGAGGCGGGGGGCATGAGCAGGTACCCCTTTGTGTGTGTGTCGATCGGGCTGGCGATCAGCAAGTGGTGGTGGTGGCCGTGGTCTTCAACCCCATCCTCAATGAGGCACGCCCCCCTGCCCACCATGCCACGCGTCTCTCAACTCCCTCATGCATGCCATTCGCCTCTCAACTCCCTCATGCATGCCATTCGCCTCTCAACTCCCTCATGCATGCCATTCGCCTCTCAACTCCCTCATTCATGCCATTCACCGCACACGCATCCCCCGCTCTGCACACAACAGTGCGCCACCAGCACACCTGCTCCCCCACTCATCTCTCCACCCATCTTCCCTCGCTCAACCCCGCACCCACCCATATCCTATGCTAGCTTTCCCATATCCCATGCCCCATGCCCCATGCCTCATGCCCCATGCCTCATGCCCCATGCCCCATGCCTTATGCGCCATGGCATGCCAGATGTTCACTGCAATGAGGGGACATGGTGCCATGCTCAACGACGAGCCCATCCATGGTATGCATGCTGTGCTGCCATCCACGGTATGCATGCTGTGCTGCCATCCATGGTATGCATGCTGTGCTGCCACCCATGGTATGCATGCGCTGCTGCCACCCATGGTACGCATGCTGTGCTGCCATCCATGGTATGCATGCTGTGCTGCCACCCATGGTATGCATGCTGTGCTGCCACCCATGGTATGCATGCTGTGCTGCCACCCATGGTATGCATGCTGTGCTGCCACCCATGGTATGCATGCTGTGCTGCCACCCATGGTATGCATGCTGTGCTGCCATCCATGGTATGCATGCTGTGCTGCCACCCATGGTATGCATGCTGTGCTGCCATCCATGGTATGCATGCTGTGCTGCCATCCATGGTATGCATGCTGTGCTGCCATCCATGGTATGCATGCTGTGCTGTCAACCGTGATATGCCATGCCTTGCTGCCACCGTCCACTTCTAAAGTCTCTAAAAAAAAGCATTGCTGCATCGTGGCCATATCATAGTTACCACCCCCCCCCCCCCTCCATGCTGCCTTTTTGCTGTCTCCCCTCTTCTTCTCGTGTTGCACTTACCTCTCACCCTGCGCACGCCCCTGTCAGTCTCCCCACAAGCAGACATGAAGTCAGCGCTGCTCGCCACTGAGGTGCCCCGCCTCCCACGCATGCCCGCATGCATGCACACATGCATACACATGCACCCGTGGATACATGCATACGTGCACACATGCACTCCTTCATAATAAATCCCCAATATACATGCATGCCCCTTTGCATCCTTGCTCTGAAACTTGGTTTCTGCTCAACCTTCACTACGGCCTGTCTTGTCTTTCACTCACTTCTGCTCCCTCTCATCCCAACCATTCTCCCCCATCGTGCCACGCATGGCGGCGTGGGCCATCAGATCGGCACCAAGAGGGATGCCGCCACGGTGGAGGGGATAGCAGCGCGCATCAGCACGCTGCTCTTCCAGGCACGCCCCCTTCCCATCCCATGTCTTTCATGCTCTCCCCTTTCTAATGCCGCCCCTTCCTTTCCCAACTGCTGCTTCCTTCCCCCTCTCATGCCCACCTCTATCTTTCGAATGCCCTTGCTCTAACTGCAATTTACATCGTCTCCCATCCTACCTACCTACCTGTCCTTTCACCCCCCTCCCATCAACTCCTCCGCCTGCCCCCCTGCCCATGGTGAGCAGGTGCGCTCGCTGCGCATGGGGGGGTCGTGTGCGCTCAACCTGGCGGGCGTGGCGTGCGGCCGCCTCGACCTCTTCTACGAGATCGACTTCGGGGGGCCCTGGTAAGTGGGGTGGGGTGGCGTTGGGGTGGGGTGGGTGGGGTGGGGTGGGTGTGGTGGGGTGGTGTGGGTGGGTGGGGTGGGTGGGGTGGGGTGGGGTGGGTGGGTGGGGTGTGGTGGGTGGGGGGGGTGGGGTCTCCATCACAGGTCAAGGGGGGAAAAAAGGGAAAGAGAGAAAGGGTGGAAGAGGGAAACAGGGGTGGAGGATAGGGGTGCGGTTGCCGCAACACTGCCGATAAGGTCAGGGCGTGGTTGTGGGGTGTTGCCAGCAGCTGCGGCATGTAAGGCATGTCGTCATTCAGCGTCTTTCCCACATATCGTCTGAACTGCTTCTCATGACCGCCGCCCTCACCTCTCCTTCACTCCCCCTCTCTTCCCCCGGTGCACCAACCAGGGATGTAGCAGCGGGGTCGCTGATAGTGGAGGAGGCAGGTGGCCTCTGCTTTGACCCGTGAGTGCCTTGTGCCCTCCCTTCCCCTTGCTACTTGCTCCTTGCTCCTTGTTCCTTGCTCCTCGCTCCTTGCCCCTCGCTCCTTGCACCTTGTTCCGTGCGTCTGTTCTGATGTCACATGCGGCTTGAATCTCAACCAAAATGTGTCATGTTCACTCTGCAACCATGTGCTGGTGCGTACATGGCAGGAGCGGTGGGCCGTTTGATGTGATGGCACGCCGAGTGGCGGCTTCGAATGCTTATCTGAAAGCACCATTTGTGGAGGCGTTGGCCTGTGATACGGTTGCCAATGGCCAAACATGATGTGATGGGGAGGCGTTTTCTTCTGTTAAGGTAGTAGCATCATTATATTATGATTAGTTAGGTGCTCAACTTTGTAATTGTTGGGCTAGTATTAGCTCCTTCAAAGCACATTGAAACTAGAGTCATATTCTTTGCTGGGTGTAGCTGTTCTCCCATGTCTGTCATTTGCAAGCATCGCTTGCCTCTCTCAGCCCTTCACGAAGTCGCTGGGTTAGAACTGGGGCACTCCCACCACATTTGCGTGATCGATCCTACGCGGGATCGTTTTAATTGTAACTACAGGTTTCCAGTGCGGTGGCTGATCGAAAATTCGCTTTCGACCCCCGAAATCGGTGCGAGTGCTCGCGTCATTTAGCACGCTTTCGCAAGGCTCGCGGATTATCCTTCCAGGCGCCGCTTTTCTCCCTCCCAGCTCCTCATTTTTCCTCCCACGTGCTTTCTTCCACTCACACTCGCCCACATAGTTACCACATGAGACATGAGCCCTTCGATAGCCAAACGACTTCAGACTTCTCTTCCGCTAAACAGCGCACTTCACCCGCCACCGCCTTTCCAGCCATGGCAGACATCGCGGAAAAGGGAAATTGCGTTTTGGGGTGTCCGAAGGTTTTTCTGCGTGGGGCTTGCGTGATTGTTGCGACAAGTGTCCGAAAAACAAGGACCGTAAAACGCAACATTGGCGCGATCAATAACCGCACACTGGACCACAACATTACCGCCACCAAAATGTCACTTTGGGGTCACATGCGCCATTATCCGCGCCGCCTCCACGAATGCGCCTCGAACACATGCGGCTCGAGCCAAAAACGCCAGACATACTCGGTATTGTTTGTCGCCCCTCCCCCGCTACAGGGACCACAGAAACGATAAATGCACACCTACTCCGAGCAACTGTATATACTGAACAAACCAAACTACACTGCTCTGCACACCGTCTACTTCATAATGTGTAAACCGTGTCATTCGCTTGCAACTCCAGCACTCAGCAATACAAAGTACAACATCACACAAAACCAAACCCTACTGTCAACCAGCAACCACACCTACAAAGATGAGCCCACCCTTCAAGGCATGCCCTCCAACAAAACACCCCCCCCACCCACTACAGCATCAAACCCAAGCGCACTACACGGACCCACTGTCCGACGACCCCGAACTGCGAGCTCGCTTCTTCGGTGTGCGGCTTAGGCGGCTAACCACCTCTCCATCAGAGGCGCCAACGACAGTCGCCACCTCCGCAGGAGCAATCCCCAGCGCCTCCGCGTGACTCACGTATGCGTTCGTCACATTGCGGATGGCACGTCGTCGGCTTCGTTCGTCACGCATCAGAGGCCCATCCGGCAGGCACATCTCGCCCTCGTCCCCTGAAGACGTCGGCGTCGTTGGCGTCACCAACTTCACACCAGCCTTCTCCATTAACCACTCATCGCATGTCACGTAATCGGACACCGGCATATAAATAGCCGGCCGCACACGGAACTCACGTAGCAGCACCAGGAGGTCCGCCGTGGTAGAGACCAGGGGATCGTACATGCCGTCCGAGTACATGCCGTGCAGGTGCCACATCAGCTCCCACCATGACTCCGGGACGCATCCCGCCCTCCACCAGCTCCTTTGCATCGTTGCCGCCGTCAGCGCCTTCCATGCCAAGCCCACCCACAGCAGCATAACACCGTAATTCACCTGGGAAATCGGCGCTTCGAAATCCTCGTGGAACAGATTGGACCGCACCGCGCGTCTCATCAGTATCACACGATACTCAGCCTTGAAAGCGTCCACCACGCCGTGCAAAAACGGCATACTGGACCAGTGCACAACGTCTGTCAGGTCCACAAAGCGTGTGTGCGTGAAATGCACCATAGTCAGCCCATGCTCCACCGTGGTCTCCGCGTCATTCGCGGTAATGCGGTGCGCCGTGTTGTAGGTGAACACAACCGTCTTCCTTCCACGGCTAAGCTGCACCCCATCAACCGTCTGAAAAAACTCGGTAAACACCTGCGCACCGCCAAGCCACGACAGCGCCAGCGCGGAATTAGGGTATCACACAGAAACAGGGTTAAAATGCGGCCACAACATTATACACATGTGCTGGTGGGAGTCCACTCGAAATCCGCCCACATACCTCGGGTGTGAGGCGCCCACTCTTCGTGTAGCGCACAATCACCGCCGGTGCAGGATCCCCGCTGCGCCTAGGTTCGGGGCGCTCGTCATGGCGCAACACCACAAGGGGCACCGTGGTGCAGGTCCCCGTCGCATTGTACAAGAAGCCGACACTTATGATCCGGTCGCACGGGGTTCCGTTCCTCCCCGGTATCTTGGTCTTCGGCAACTGGCTGGGCATAAACGGTATCTCCACAAACAGAAACACATCGTCGGGGAGCACTTTCAGCATCTATACGATGTCCTTCAACGGGGGCTTCACCGAGCTCATACTGGCCACCAGCACACCCCGGACAACGTGTGGGACGCTGGAGATGAAATGGTGGACGTCCCCAAAATCATCCACCAAAAGCCCAAACCGTACTCTCCACCACCACATGTGCTGCCTTTTAGGCGCTCCACATGTGCAGCAACCACTGAATCGCTCTCCAACTGAACACTGTCCACTACATGCCAGGTACACAATTGCGCAGTTCCCATTGGCCCAACCTGTCAACCTCTGATGTCGTACACGTCACACAAGAGCGCACCCTCCAGTCACACGCACTAGAAATCTGAACATCGAACCAATTAGCCCCAGCCACATATCCAATTGGATTCCGTAACAAGAGTGTCCCTGCCTTTCAGCCACAAAACCCCAATCCGCACACCAGTGCCCGTAACCAACAACCGTAATAACCAAATCCGTTACAAGCATTGCCTCAGTCCACACACCGGCCGCCAAAATTACAGTATGACGGTGAATTTCCAAAATCCCACATTCCCACCACACAAGCCCCCCAAATCAAAGCATGACACCTGCGTACTATTCTGTTGCGCACTCTCCTTCCCTTACCCAGGTTCCCATGCACCCCTAAATGCCACAATCCCACAATTCCACCTCTTCTAGGAGTGTAACAAAACCACCTTCCCTCAGTTCCAAACACACAGCCCAACTCCAATTACTCGCAGAGTAGAAACTTGTTAACCAGCAGCAGACGAGGGTTGCTGTACGAAGGGCATACGTGCACAACCCTCTGCAGGCTCTTCAGCAACACCACTGCGAACCGGACACTCTCTCGAGCTGGATGCAACTGGGTGCACGTTGTGATGGGACACTGGCCTGCTGCTTCGTAGTACCTCACGTAGGCACACCCAGTCCACTTGCCCTCCGCGTTCAACGCCTTGAAAATACATAGGCATCTAGCAAACCAATCCCCGCCTCCAGGAGCCAGGAGTGCCACATCTGAGAACAGGTTCTCTCGCGGGGACGCCTTGACGAACGTCCCCTTCGCCACAAGCACCCCACCCTGCGTACGTGGTATGGCACTGCTGTGTGTGTCTGCAATAAGGCAAGCACCACAACCGAATCAAAGAGGTCAGGCAATGTCACTCGTTCCGCGCACCAGAAACCGACAATCCGCGCACCAAAAAACCATTACCTGCACACTGCCAGGGTTCAACTGCATCTCCCGCAGCTGACCTGGTAGGCCCGCCATCTGATCCCCAAATACCGCTGCGTACTCGGCAAACACCTTGTCCGCGGTGCCTCCGAGGCGCATGACCCTGAACTTCTTCGTTAGCACTGGCTCCATCTCTTCCACGGCCTGCCGCACACAACCACCGGCGACACATCATGCAATGAATGAGAGTGCATAGCAAACACGCACCTGGTACAGGGCGTGAGTCGCCCAGCGCACCACCCCTAGTCTTGCTTGCACCCAAACACTCACCACACGCAGCGCTGACACGTACTGCCGACCTCCTCCCGCATCCGCCGCCACTTCTCTGTAAATCTCCCGCTGCATCTCCTCATCCACAATTCTCCTCGGAATGTCAGCCCAGTTGCTCCCCCTCACGGGACCTTCACTGTCCCCTTGTGAGTGCGCTCCCACATCTCCGTGCTGTAGTGGTGTGGCATCCCCCTTGCTTCCACGTTCTCGAGAAGATGCTTGATCATGTGGATCTTGGGAATTTCCCACTTTGACGCCTGGTCCGGGAAAGCTTTGGGCAGTAGCTCCATCAGCCTGCATAGCAAACAGTTGTGTAGCTCAGAGGACGGGTCAGCAACTGGAAAGCACAGGGTTAAGGGTGCACAAGGATTGCCACCAACACACGTGTCCAACCACCGTACTTACGCAACAGCACGTTGCTTGGCCTCTTTCAGCGTGGCACGGGTGTGCGCCGCCACTCCCAAAAACGCCTTGTAGAACAGGGCGTAATAACGGAATGCTCTAACCTGCAGCGCCCTCAACTCTCCCGCCTCGCCCTTCTTCAAGGCACTAGAATCCGCAATTAGGATCGGCATGATTTGCATCATGGCACGATGTTCGAACGCCGCATAGTGGGCACCAGAAAGGAAGAATGATGATCCCCTGGAATCCGCAGCAGCACACTTGGAGTATCGCTTTTCAACTCCTTCTTCCGCCTGCCACGCAATAGGGGCCAACGAGCCAGGGTCGCATCTCGGCCAAGCCATAAAACCCGTTCCAAGGAACTGACAAAGCCCTGACCACCCCAAAACACCGCACTGATGATCTACACGGCTCACCTCTCCAGGAT